TATATATATATACACACACCACACATATATATATATATATATATATATATATATATATATATATAATGTGTTTATTATCTACATATATATGTATATACATGTATATATGAAACGTATATATGTATATATATATATATATATATATATTATATATATATATATATATATTCACCACACACATACATATATATTTCACACACACACACACATATATATTCACACACACACACATACATATATATTCACACACATACATATATATTCACACAGCACAACATACATATATTCACACACACACACACACACACACACACACACACACACACACACACACACGCACACAAACATACATATGCATACACATACATCGATATCTGTCTATCTATCTATCTATCTATCTATCTATCTATCTATCTATCTATCTATATATATATATATATATATATATATATATATATGTGTGTGTGTGTGGTGTGTGTGTGTGTGTGTGTGTGTGTGTGTGTGTGTATGTGTATATCTGTATGTATTTATTTATATCTATATACACATACACATGCAAATAGTTCTATATCCTTCCAGCAGATATCTGAATGAACTCTTTCTCTAAGTTATGTGTTTCGCCATGTTGACGTCCAGTGCTTTGTTCTTGCTCTGAAAAAAATGTAATTAGCGAAAGGAAGCATTACTCAGTAAGAGAACAGAATTAATATTTTTCTCTCTCTCGTAGTTTTTATTTGAGGTCCCCCTTCTCTCTCTCTCTTTTTTTCCTCTACACTTTAGATTCCATTCGACCAGAAATTGACAAATGACCCGAGACACAGAACCCTTTACCAGCCTTCCCTTTCCTCGTAACGAACCCGCGCTCCCTTCTTCTGCTGCTGAAGAAACCATTAAAAGTTTACTTTTGCGGCCTCTGACATTATCCTAGCACGCAGCCATACTCTCTCTCTTCTTCCCTCGTTGTGTGTGATTAACGTATGTTATTCTTCCTGAAGTGTGATATACTAATCTCTCTCTCTTCCTATCTATCTGTTTTTCTGCATATTTCCATCTCTTTTTGTGTATATATATGCATAAATATATATACTTACACACGCACGCACACAAGTACAAGTCAACCCAAACTCGTCTTTAACTACATAAATAGTAAAACGAAGACTAGAGATCAAATTAGCGCCATCAGACAATAACATTATATATTCTAAGGAGGAAGAAATGTGTGAAATCCTAAATGAGAAATTTCAGTGTGATTGTTCAGAATCCATAATTTGATATGGCAAATACCCGTACAAACGTAAAGAACATCGAAAATATCATCCTCAAAAAGAATGAAATAAAAGGTCTACTAAAACGACTAGACAAGACAAAAGCAGAGGGTCCAGATGAAGTTTCTAACTGGGTTCTCAGGGAATGTGCCGAAGAACTATGTACTCCTTTATTGTTAATAAGATAAGGTAAACAACTAAAAAGTTGGAAACTCGCAAATGTTACAATATAAGAGCGGCGACAAACAAAACCCACTAGATTATAGGCCAGTATCGTTAACCAGTGTAGTATGCAAACTGCTAGAAAGAATAATTAGGAAACAACGGGTTGAAATGCTTGAAAAACACGAAATGATATCAAATAAACAATTTGGTTTTAGAGAAGGAAGGTCATGTGTAACAAATCTCTGTTTTTATGATAGAGTATCTAAAAAAAATCAAGAAAGAGACGGGTGGATTGTGTACTTAGACTTTAAAAAGGCTTTTGATAAGGTGTCTCACAGAAGACTACTATGGAAAGCACCTAGGTGGAGTGAAAGGCAAACTACTCGCATGGATGAAAGACTTTCTTCATGAAAAACAAATGAGCACAATAATTAGAGGGAAGCATTCTACAGGCGACGAGTAACCAGCGGTGCCTCAAGGATCGGTGTTGGCGCTGATTATGTTTACTATTTTCGTCAGTGATTTATGCCCGTATTTTTAAAACCTTTCGCCAGTACTGGCGAAAGGTTTCGCCGGGCGATCGGGAATTTCATACCATTAAAAGCATGACAAGTGTTGGCCAGAGCTGGATAACGATCGTATTGGAATAGCCTGGCGAAGCAAAGTCGCGAGAGCTGTTTGAATGTCATTTTCTTGCTTTCAGATTATAAATTAGTAACATATTGGTGTATGATATGATGTAGGAATCACATTGTAACTTTATACTTTAACAATGGAGTTAAAAATGACCATTTTACTATACTTACCTGATATAAGATACTGAACTGTAGGCCTACAAGGGTATCATTAGACAAGCCTCATTATAGAGCGGTGGAGCACTACAGTGGTATTTATATAGCCCGTAGCAAACATGCCATCATCAAAACACTTTTGGTAAAATTTGCGAAAAGAAAATTATCCCTACAACCAAAATAACAACTTAAATCTAAATAAGTCATCTCGGGGGTGGGGGGAAGGAATAAAGCTGGTCTTGAGCTTTCGACTGGAACATCGAAGGTCTTGAAAAAACTGCGTATATGCGTTATTTCATAATAAATTATGATTTTAAGATATTTTAGAATTACAATGTGATTCCTATATCATATGACACACAAATATGTTATTAATTTATAATTTGAAAGCAAGAAAATGGTATTCAAACATGGGAAAGGGAGGGCTCTCGCGACTTTGCTTCGCCAGGCTGTTCCAATACGATCGGTCGCCAGCCCTGTCGAAAGTTCGCCTGGCAACACTTAATGGTACGAAATTCCCGATCGCCCGGCGAAACCTTTGGCCAGTACTTGCAAAAGGTTTTAAAAGTACGGGCCATAAAGTTAACCTTGTTATAGTATAAAGTATAGTATAGCACAAAGTAAAAACTTTGTTATAGTGTAAAGTTAATTTTTAACACCTTTGTTATAGTATAAAGTGAGACTATTACAGAGACAACATGCAAGATGTTATCGCCTGGCGATCCCTTTCGTTCGCCAGGCCTGGCGAACGTTGGGTTTAAAAGTAAGGCCTCCCTCGCTCAGATGTTCGCTTGGCGTAGCTTCGCCAGGCGAACGCCAGCACTGGCGAAAGGTTTTAAAAGTACGGGCCTTAGAGTCAAACATAAGCCCAGGTTTGCAGATGACGAAAAGTTACAAAAAAAGGATAACAGACATCTCATGCCAATGCCTCCGAAATGACATCTGTATTACGAATATGAAATTATGTTTCTAAGAAAATTGCAGATGCATATTTAGTTCTATTTCCTAAGTTAACTCTATGATATTAAATAGAAGCGAGTATTGCGCTTCTCGTTTCTTTTTTGTTATAGTGAGGGATTATGGGTAGAGGAGACCATGGGAGAACAGAAACACATGGTGACAGGAACCTTTGGAAATCGGAAACTTTGATTTAGAATTAGACTATGTTATTTGAAGAGACAGAATGTAACCAGTGGAAAAGATGCACATGTATCTATCGAAACTTTTGTGCTAAAGAAAGGAAAGAGATTTATGTTAAACACGTATGTACAATAGTAGAGTATCATCATGTCCAGGGTTTTGGTAAGAATCTCAGTTGTTGAGAAAATGTTTGTAATAAATATATGGCAGACCAAGGATTGTGACATATGTGCGGATTCCAGTGTTAAGAATTATGTACTTTTGATTTTAGAATGTGTGAATTTATGTAAGATTTAGATAACCTTCCTTACACGAGTCCAGTGGTGATTTACGATGTAAGTAAAAGTTTTGTTGGTAATTTTCTATATTACGTCTGCATAACCGATATCGACGATTTTGGTATCGTTGGATTCCTCTCACTCTATACAATGCAAATATGTAGGTTTTATTGCGCGGAAACCCCCCGTTAGCGACAAAATTGGCCCCGATAGCGGGGCCGACGATGTCGGAGTGGCGGACGTAATATATAAAATTACCCTAATAATATAACCTCACAGTGAAAGTAATCATGGTTATTCACATGACTTTCAATTGCAGGGGGCTGCCGCTCCCCAACCCCCGCCGAGGAAATAAAACCTCCACCACGTATTCACGGCAGGATAGAGCGCACACGAACTAGATGAACTAGATGTGGAGCCGATAACCTACAATAACCTAGGATTTTTAAGGTACTAACCTGATTGATTAATGCCGCTAATTAGTGGGGAGGGTGCTCCTTTGCCGCAAAATGTTAAGGAGGCAATGTGCGTCCGGCAGGATGTCCTAGGCCGGAGGATACAGCTTTCTCCCGACAGAGGAAGCCGTGGCGGAAGCATATCCCTAGCATTTTTACTGCCTAGTTGCAATTTCAAGCAGAAAATCCGTCTCCGAATACGAGCACCCTCCACACTCGGCCATCGCGGCGGCTATAACTGCCTTCTGAACGCGACGGTTATTTCGGTTAGGAATACGGATGTCGTCATTCCAGAGCACGGGAAACTCGACCTTGAAGCCATCGGTGTAACATCGAAAAAGGCGCAATCGTCTCTTTATACAATGCTGACTATGCCAAGGTTAATATGCTGATTCATCGGGAATTTTACAAGGTAATTGTAATATTACGCCCGCCGCTCCGACATCGACGATGATTGTGTAACGCTCTAGCCTGCCGGGAATACGTGGTGGAGGTTTTCTTTCCTCGGAGGGGGTTGGGGGGCGGCAGCACCCTGCAATGGAAAGTTATGTGAATAACCATGGTTATTTTCACTGTGCGTTATATTATTAATGCTATTTAACCCCGCATTTTCACTGGAACCTTCCATGCCCTCTCCTGCTATCGGGGCCAAGTTTGTCGCTAACGGGGGGTTTCCGCGCAATAAAACCTACATATTTGCATTGTATAGAGTGAGAGGAATCCAACGATACCAAAATCGTCGATATCGGTTATACGGACGTAATATAGAAAATTACCTGAAGTGCATCAATGGTTAATGCATATAATATTTCATAACACTGATTAATATATTTTGTATAATTGTTAAATTTATACATTGTTATGTGTTGTTGGACTTTGTAAAATTATAAGTATTTTTTATATATAACCTTGCATATTGAATCTTACTGAGGTACTGAATAAAGTATGGTGCTCATCGTGGAGTTTTCTGCATTCTTCAAGTGACGTGCAACAACATCGAGAACTTAGTCACGTGGAGTTGTACATGGAAAATGGAATTTCATACCAATAAATGCCATGTAGTCGGTGTAACAGTAGACTTGCATCAATCCGGGACTGGCTCACATTACACCATGGGTAGAATAATATGCAGCCGTTTTCATGTAGGTTCAGTTTTATTCAACCTGTAAACAATATATTTCAAAATAACAAATGATAAGTCAATGAGCACATAGATAAATAATTAATTAAGAGGCCAAAACTTTGGATACTTGTTCAAAATGAAAGAGATTAAATTTCTCACATACAGGAAGCCAAGACACAAGATCTCCTAAGAAAATCTGCAGTACTAATCTAGAATCACACAGGTCCAAATACAACAACAGCTTACTTACACCATGGCACCTCGCCCCTGAATGATGTTCATGCTACACAACAATTCTCGCCCAAACTCAGTACGTTCCAGGCCCGTCAGTCATCAGGCTGCACAAAATCAACATAATGCCATGCAGCTTTCTATGGAAAATGTCAGTTGAATATCCCTAACACTGACATTTAAATCTCCTCAATACTCAATAAATCACTATGTCAAGTCACCAAAACTTAGAATTTCATTAATCATATACCCAAGAAATAAAACTCAAATAATGTTCCTACCTCATATCTATGAATCAAAATTGACAATTTCAACACGTCTTATTCAGAGACAGCCTCCACGTGTCCCGCTCATTTCAGCTTGTAAACAACGGTTCCTCGTGACAAAAGAAACTTACAATGCGCAACGTTTTCCGAAACTAAATATATCATCATTAGAACTTAAATTTGACAATTCTTCGTTTACAACTCAATAACAAAATCACAATAGATATTTCATATGTTGATAAGGTAATCTTCAAAATTAATACATATTTCTAATATACACAATAATAACATAGGTTCTAATAATATTTACAAAGATGCACACATTCACAATTCGCTATTATTTCCATAATAATACACTCCCACCCCAAGAGGACAAGAAAAGACAAATTAAACACGACTGGCTTGTTCACCACTAATTTATGAGCTCATCTCTTCACAGTATAGTCACGTGCACCAGTATACTTTAAACCTGGCTTCTGTAATTTATACCTTACACTAACATTACACATCCAACCATCTCGACCAGAGTGTGTGGATACAATTTCAGGTAGTTTCCACACTCCTTTGGCATATGTTGGTAATCTTCAAAATTTATACATATTTCTAATATACACAATAATAAAATAGGTTCCAATAATATTTACAAAGATGCACACATTCATAATTCCCTATTTACATAATACAGTCAGGTTTGGAGAAAGTAGAAATCGCCCACTATTCCAATATAAGTTAGGGGGCGCATTATTAAACTCAGCTGACAGGGAGAAAGATCTTGGGATAATCATAAATAGAAACCTAAACTATATTGACCATATAAATGAAAAGGTCCACAGAATGTTAGGACTGATTGCCAACATGAAGAGGGCATTCGTGTATGTGGACGAATATATGGTAAAAATCATTATAGCAATCATAAGACAAAGTCATGAGTACGGTGTAGTCCACACTTCAAAAAAGATGTTGACAAACTGGAAAGAGTTCAAAGAGCGGCCACAAGATGGGCACCTACTCTAAGAGATATGAGTTACGAAGATAGACTACAGAAATTAGGACTTATTACCTTGGAAGAAAGAAGGAAAAGGGGAGACATGATTATGCTGTTCAACTGTATTACAGGAAGAGTGAAGATAGATAAAGATGACTTTTTAATCTTGAACATAATAAGAACAGAAGAACGAGAGGACACAACAAAAAGTTGAAAGTAAAAAGAGGTGATAAAGATGTAAAAAAATATAGTTTCCCAAACAGAACTATTGAAGCGTGGAACAGTCTCCCCAAGCATGTAGTATGTGCCAAAATTGTGCATCAATTTGAATAGTTATACGACAATTTAAATATAGCAGATGGGACCACCTGAGCTTAGCTCTTCACCCGTACTGAAACAACTAGGTAAGAACACACACACACACACACACACACACACACACACACACACACACACACACACACACACACACACACACACACACACACACACACACACACACACACAAACACACACACACACACACATAAGTATGTACATATATACACATATTTATACATATACACAGGTATATATATATATAATATATATATATATATATATATATATATATATATATATATAATATATATATATATATATATATGTGTATGTAGGGTACAAAATTTTTTTCATGTTCCCAAATTTATCCTATTTTTCGACAAGCTTCTAGAAGCGGGGAGTGCTGCTGGGACATGTTGCCACATCAACTGATATTATTGCTCTTTTTAATTTACCATTAAGGGAACCTTCTGGTGATTTTTCGGCGATTTTCGCCCCTCTTGCCGAAATTGAATTTAATGCATTTTCAAGGAGTTTCTAGGCCCCCGGTTCTCCCCTGAAAATTTCAAGGCCCGACCGTTATTTTTTAGGTGGTAGCAGCGATTTTCGATGTCGACTGAAATATTATTTTATTGATGTTACCTTAGAAAATCGGCAATTGTGACGCAATGATTAGGGATAATAAAAATATGAGGTTATTTTCTGAAAGCTTATCAAATTTCACATAAGATGAGACCAACCTTAAAAAATCCGGCAAGCGTCCAAAAAACGACAATGAAGAAATTTTCCATACTAATAACACACATTTTAACGAGATTTAAACCAAAGGGGAGTTTTAACCTAACTTAGACGCTTATTGCAGTTTGGTGATGATGCGGACCATGGTTTGGATCCAGGATTTTTTTTTTTTTTTTAACTTGAAAAGTTATGATCAGATTTTAACCTGAGGTTTGTCTTAGCCTAATTAATATTCCATAAAATTTTGGTGGTGATCCGGAACATTTGGCAAAACTACCCCTCATGGGTGGGGGGGGAGGTTTGCATTTTCGAAATGTTTTGCTCATAGATCAAACTATGTATGATGAAAACATAAAGAAAAGAAAATACAGCATATGAATAACATATGTTTAGTTATTTGCATGGAAAATTTCTTCATTGTCGTTTTTTGGACGCTTGCCAGATTTTTGAAATTATTCCGAAAAAAAGAAGGTTAGTCTCATCTTATGTGAAATTTGATAAGCTTTCGGAAAATAACCTCATATTTTTATTATCTCTAATCATTGCGTCACAATTGCTGATTTTCTAAGGTAACATCAAAAAGATATTTCAGTCGACATCGAAAATCGCTGCTACCACCTAAAAAATAACGGTCGGGCCTTGAAATTTTCAGGGGAGAACCGGGGGCCTAGAAACTCCGTGAAAATGCATTAAAGTCAATTTCGGCAAGCGGGGCGAAAATCGCCGAAAAATCACTAGAAGGTCCCCTTATATATCTGTTCTTCCAACATGACTTTCTAGCTAGTATCGCTGCCACCATCCAGGCTTTGATTGAAACTAGGAGGCACCCCGAAAAAACCTGTAACATGCGGCCGGTTTGTTAAAATTAGGGAAGGCCCAACCCAGTGCTTATTTTCGAGTTTACTTCTTATTTTGATTTGTTAAACGATTTCAACGCAGTTGTTTTGTGCCTGGAACGTGAAATATTATTGGATCTCGATCGAGAAACTCGGGCAGGCCTACCCATCCCTAAAGGCATTCCCTAATTTTAATATAAGTTTGAAATATCAAAAATACCCCCTGAGTTTTTCATACAGCAGCAAATTACAAACTAAATTAGTAAGCGACTTTAAAATGAATCTGTTGATAAAAAAAAGGAATACATTTTTTTTTTTTTAATACCGACCAAACGTCAACACTACTTGCCGTAGCTCGCGGTATTTGAGCTTTAATTAGCCTTTTCTCGTAATACTGGTGTTGACACCTGCTGTCGTCTGGGAAATCAGTTTGTAGACGGTAAGTTACTCACTGTATATGAAATAACCTTCTAATTTACGAAAAATAAGCTCTGTGACGAAAGGTATTTATAGCCCTTCTGACATTCCAATCAGTACTGTTTTTAGACAAAGTTATTACAAATATCAAGACATTTATTGAAATAAATTACAAGTACGTTTGAAAATATTATTTAAATATGACCATAGTTTCTCTCACTCTCTCTCTCCCCCTCCCTCCCTCTGTGTATTTATCTATCCATGTATCTTCATTTTTATTTTTTTCTTGGGTACAGGATCCAGTCATTGATGCATTAATGCAGCTTAATGAAATGGAGCAAGTGGATGGAGTCAGGCTCCAGAATATAGTTCTGAAGGATCGTGCAGACCACTTTGTATTCCTCTCGGATGAGGAGTTTATTGAACGTTACAGGCTGACCAAGGACTGCACAAAAATTGTTCTAGACAAGATTAATCAAGGGTTGCCACGAGAAAGAAATATGAGAGGTAGGCATTACTCATTCTAATTGAAAAATGATGTATATAGATTAACTTTTGTACAATTTACTAATAGTTAGCTATAATAAAATATGTATTACTATTGAATATGCAATATGCATGATTATTAATATATATATATATATATATATATATATATATATATATATATATATATATATATATATATATATATATATATATATATATATATATATATATATATATATATATATATATATATATATATATACATATACATATACATACATACATACAAATATGTTTACAGAGAGAGAGAGAGAGAGAGAGAGAGAGGAGAAACTTACATTACACAGCATTTAATTTTTGCTCCAACAGGTTTAAGTGTTCCACCTCAGCTTCAGCTCCTGGTATGTTTGCGTTATCTGGCAACTGGAAGCTTTCAACTGGGCATGGCAGATTGCTCACAGATGTCAAAAACCTCTGTGTGCAAGTTTGTTGGTCTGACTGCCAGAGCTATTGCGTCCTTAGCCTCAGAATACCTGAAGTTCCCAGATGCAAAAGATGTGGCTGCAAACATCCAGAAGTTCCAGACGATAGCAGGGATTCCTGGAGTTATTGGCTGTATAGATGGATCACATAGGACTAGGAGGAAATGATAAAGAACTCTACCATTGCCGGAAAGGATGCTTTTCCATTAATATGCAGGGTAGGGTATATGTGATGCAGATTTGAAGTTCATGAACATCATTGCTAGTTGGCCAGGCAGTGTGCATGATAGCAGAATTTTTGAAAACTCTCATGTGTGCCATATCCTCGAGCAAGGAAATCATCCTGGATACTTACTTGGAGACAGTGGGTACCCTTGTAGTAGTTACTTATTAACACCTGTCCAGGGACCTACAACTGACAAAGAGAGGCGCTACAACACAGCCCACACAAAGACCAGACATGTAATTGAACGTGCCTTTGGAGTTCTGAAAAGGCGTTTTGCTTTCCTCAGCCAGCCTGTTCGTACAAAGCTGGAAACTACAAAGAAAATCATAATGGCCTGTGTAGTTCTGCACATAGCCATCCTCCATGAAATAGACCCACTAGAAAATAGAGATTGATGAGTTACATGAACGTCTTGATGCTCAAGAGGTTCATGCAAATATTGCAAATTGTGCCTTTTATGTAAGGAATATTATTTAATACATAGATGGTTTTAGATTAATTTTGTAGTTTCAAATCTGTAATACTCTCATATTTATTTACTTCCCTTTCTTTATTTACGTGTTTGATATGGTATATTCATTACCAACTTCAAATAATATGAAAAATAGGGCAAGATATTTTTTTGTTTTGAAGTTTTCAGAGTCGGGAAGTTTTTTTTTTTTATTATTCTGATATATATATATATATATATATATATATATATATATATATTTTTTTTTTTTTTTTAGATTTCTAAAATTACTATTGTCATTAAATAATTCAGTCCACTATTGCTTATTGATAGTTTACTTTAATATTTACTACCATTATGTTATTATTATTTTTTTTTTAAATAAAAAGCGTTGAATTAAACCATAGTTTATTGTTTCACCTTGACTGCAGGTCTATTTCACTACATACTAGTTTAATAAGGATATACATCATTATAAAGGTTATAAATATGCTCTACATGAAAATGGTAATCATAAAAATACACTTGATTATTACATTATTTATTTGTATACATTATAGTGTCTGTAAGAATATCTAGAAGAAAATAAAAACTATATTCCTGGAAAGGTATAAGTAAAAGTCGACTCTTCAGTATCATTACATTCTTTGGGTTTGTATCAGTAATAAAATAAAATAGACTAACCCATATCACAAACGTCAGTAAGTTATATGTAATATCACAGCAGTAAATTGTAATCAACATATCTCAGTACTATAAGCAAAGTACTCGTATCTAAATACTAAAACAAAATCAATTCCTTATATCGCACTAGGAAATAATCACACATTTACTAAATGTCACAGGAGTAAAATTGCAAACATAAAATTAACTAAATAACCATTCAGTATAAAAAATAAGCAAAAATATTACTTTCTTCAAATTTGGCTTTCATGAGCGCTCTTGCTTCCTCCAGAAATGATACAACTGCATCAGCCACCCGCTTGGAGTCACTGGCAATAGAGGCAAAGGCATGTTGTGCTTCTTTGGCAGCAGCCCTAACAGCACTGCATGTTTCTCTTAAGTTGGTGCTGAGTTCCTTCTGTTAGGCCCAGCTGTGCTTTATGCAGTTCCTCCTGACGGCTATTGATGTTAGTATAGCACTCTTTCCTCTCTGTGCTGTTTTCTTTTTCTGCCCTCTCTCGGCTGTGAAGTGGAAGGAGAAACTACAGGAGGCAATGGTCTTGGATCTGGTGTAGGTGTGCGAGAAGGTACACCAGATGAAGGATTAGAAGGACCTGGAGATGGAGATGCTGTGAAGATGTGTGGTAGTGCTGGAGGGTCATCAACATTCTCTTAATCAATCCATTCTGAAATGCAACAATAACGTTATTTTTACTAATAAAATTAATAATCTAAATGCTCATATTTGCACTAGGCTATTTCTAAATATTATTGACACATGTTTATGTCGAAGATGCTGCAACATTACATATGTCTTCTTGTTTAAGTATTTTAATTATTTTTTGTATTTCACATAGGCAAAATATTCTTATGATATGCTGATGACAAAAAAAAAATATGACATATCTTAAATATATTCTTCTCTTGTAAAATCAGAATATCTGGCTGGCTGACAGTACAGGCATACTGCTTCTCAGCGTATACAAGTTCATTCTCCATTAAAAGAGAAGCAGCAGCAGCTAGTGGACTGTATCTGGGTGGCGTTGGTGGAGGACCATCTCCTATAGCAAATTCATTTGAACGTTTAACAAATTCATTTGAACTGCTCGGGCCAGCCGCAAACAAAATTATGAGTGTGTGGGGCTATCCCGAATTGCGATGTTTAACAAAGTGGCCGATGATCTCATTTTGGTAGCTTAACCTAACGGTCTTTAAGGCTCGTGGGGTGGGAATGAATTCGTTCCTTTGTTAAGTGTGTCAAATTGTAATGGTCATGGAAACATTTGTAACCCTGAATATTTTATTCAATAACTAAACAATGAACAAATGGCATATTATTCTATAAATCTTAGCAGTACACATTAGAATTAAAATAAGAAATATTCTCAAATAATACGATTCATATCTGAAGTTAATTTGTACATACCCTCCCTTTTCTTATTAATTAAGAATCAATGACAATTTAATAAACAGTAAAAATACACGTGAGACGAAATCGAGACCCTCACACCCAGTCTAACGGTGTTCTTCCCATGATTTTACCTAGGACTGTCACCTGTGACTACTTCCATTACTGTACCCACGGACCACTAAAATAACTAAAATATAACAAATATATCCCCTAGCAACAAGGCATTACGGCACATTCACCATGGCGGTTCTCACCACCTCTATTACTCCTCTCTGTTCACGAGGAGATAGTCAGAATTCGTCTCAATTATCACAAATCGATACAAAGAGGTTTAACAATTACATTAATAAACTTATTAAGCACTGCAATC